ACCAAAACAAAATCTTAAAGCCAACATAAATTACTTAAATAGCAAAATAGAAAATTGTTGTTAGGAAATTGTAGCCCATTTATACTAGTAAGTTATTGCTAATCAGTACTTATCTATGCTCCAAGTTATTATTTTGATATGAAATAAGTTTCTATTTCTTAGAAGGAGGACTATTTTCAACAAAACAAGATTTTGAACAATAAGGATATGAGCATAATTGCCATCAGAAATCATCTAGATGTGAATAAACTAATGAGTAGGACTGTTTGAAACAATAGTTTTTAATTCTTCTTGTATTTTTAATATACTTAAATGATTTATAACTTATAAAAGTTATAATTATAAACATATATAATTGCATATGCTTTATTGTAAAAGCATATTTATGAGTAGACATTTACTATAGAGCTAACAACACATTTAAAAAGGTTTATTTTTATTTATGTGTATATATTAATGTGTCCTGATGTGGGAAACTAACTTGAATCCTCTGCAAGATCAAAAGGCACTCTTAACTGTTGAGCTATATGTCCAGCCCAAAGGATCATTTTAAATATAATAATTAAAAGAAGAAAACAAGTTGTATTAACCATTAGGATCCAGAGATTCTTACCAATAAAGTCACAATTCTTGTGTGTGTGTGTGTGTGTGTGTGTGTGTGTGTGTGTGTGTGCGCGCGTGCGCACGTGCGTGTGTGTGTGTGTGTGTGTATGCATATGCATGTACCTGGGTGTAGAAACATGTATATGAGTGTACAGATGTCACATATGGTGTCTTCTACAATTATTTTTGACCCTATTTTTTGAGACAATTTATCTCACTTGAATTTGGACCTCACTGATTGGTTAGACTGGCTGACAATGGGCACAGGGATTCTTCCAGTTCTGTCCACCAGTACTGTGACTACAGGTATACAATGTAACTAACATTCAGATTTTTTATTAAACAATTTTATTTATTTTACATACCAACCACAGATCCCCCCTCTCATCCCTCCTCCTCCTGCTCCTTCCCCAACCTCTCCCAACAGTAGGCTGAGCCCCATTCCTACATCATAACATTCTTCCATTGAATTAGTTAGACTAGCTTATTTAAATGCATCTTTCTGCTCTTAAGTGAGAATATTTATTTTATAAATATTCAATACAGAAAACAATGAAGTAAATGTAATAAAATAGAACATTCATTGAACAATTACTGAAAGCTGGGTATTTGCCAAATGCTTGATATGAGTTTAATTCTCAAAGAACTGGATAAGGTAAGTATTACATTCACAACTCAAGAGAGATAGAGAACTTGCTGGAGATCACCTACTAGTAAGGGACAGAGTTGAGGGTGGAGTGCAGGAAGTCTGACCCCAGTTCCTCAGGTCTCTCTTGTAACTCTTTATTAGCCTGTGCCAAATCTGTAGCATAATGGATACCTCATTCTTGTACATATCCAGGTCACATAGTGTGAGTTAGAAGCTTTAGAATGAGCCATGAGTGAATGGAAGAATTAGGAAAAGAATTAATTAACATCTGCTGAAAGTAATCTTTCTTCAAACAAAGATTCAATGATTGTCCTCTACAGTCCACTGATGAATACATTTCTTGTACATATCTTGTGTTAAGTAACATATATATATATATATATATATATATATATATATATATATA